ATAATAAGGCAGCTGAAATGTAGTCCTGTGTAAAGTGATATTTACATGAAAACCCATACAAATGGTTCTACAGTATCTGTGTTGCAATCAGAAATATGCAAAACCTGTTGCAAAGGTTTCATCACCTTTACAGGAAATGTTACCATGAATCATGGTTTTGTCGCTTACGCACACTGTGAGAACGGGCTGGGGCGCCACGCTTATGGACAAAGAACAAACGGGCTGGGGCGCCACGCTTACAGACACTGAGAGACTGGTCATGTCGTGGATCCAACAGTGACATGGTTTTAGTTATGAGGAAACAGCTGATGTATCACAGGTACTCTTTGTTCCTTTAATGTTATGAGGGCTTTTCTAGTTGAGTGTTACGGATCTGTACAGGGAAGCAGCACAAACACCGTGAACTCAGGGAAAATAGGGTTTATTCGGGGAAACCAGCAAACACAGCACAGACCGCGAAACAAACGTCAACTAAAGTCAATGACCGGACAGGGATAAGACAGACACCAAAGCACTAAATACACAGAATCAATTAACGACAACTAGAAACAGCTGAGAAACACTGGGATTCCACATGAGGTAACAAGGGGGCGTGGCACACAGGAGGATCGGACAAGCAGATCATGACATTTTAGCTGTTTCACTAGGTAATAAAAGTTAAAAATATTACTGCAGCTTCCTCTTTATGAGCTTGCTGGCTGGGAAGAATCAGAACTACAATTCCACCATTTCCAGCAAGTATTTGTTTTAAAATGAATTAATTAAATATATTTTACTACAGTCTAATTTACTTGCCAGTTACTCACATAATCACATAGGACTTGTAACTTGTTACGGTCATTTAAAGTAATGGGGATGAAACACTTGGGAAAAGTAATTTCAGCTTCTTAGTATATTTCAGCCACTGGTACTGGATTCAGGAAACTGACGAAGACGACCATGTCAGCACAGGAGATCTTTCCGGGATGGGGGTACACCATCTTGACACTGCTGCAGCCATGCTGGCTGGGTCCAGTAGATGATCCATGAGGCTTTGGGCAGTTTAGTTGAACAGGGACAATGTACAAAATACATTAACCTCAAAAGGAAAAAGGAGAGATGCTTTGTACCAGGTTATAGCACTATTGCTAATTCACACCTGTAGTCCCTGGACCGGCTGGTGTAAAAAGTGTATAAAACTGTCAAAAAGTGTATAAAACTTCTTACTGCCCCCTGCCAGGCAGGGCAAAAACTACAGGCAAAATTAGGATTATGGTTCGCAGACAAACCAGTGGTCAGGACTCTCAGTAAGACTCTCTTTAACTGTAGCAGAGGTTTCTGCATTAAGAGTGTGCCTGAATCAAGCAAATTCCCTATACAAGATATCCAGCATCTTGTGTACACAGCATGGAGGAAGTGGGTCCCTGAGCTATATTTTGCTTAGTCTATATATAACAGTACTATTTTATTTTCCATGCTAAATTCAATGGGCAGCCTGCATAGCATAGATCCACATCAATTTTATATAGTAGTGACTCCAATATAGTACTACTTTTACATTTATTGCAATAATAGCTGTAATATAAACACACACACACACACCGCACTTGCACCAATATTCTGAATTGCAAAAGAAACAAACAGATGGAGTGACCCAGACAGAGCATTACAGAGGACAGAGGAGAAGAGCAATTATCTTTGATGAAAGTCAGAGATCGAAGTTTTGGTAAGACTATGCAAAAAGGTAACGACTGGCAATTAAAAAAGCAAAACAGGTTATCTCACGTCTACACAACACGTACACTAAACCACTGCTCGCAAGAAGCAGAGCCCTCGCACTTTCAGTGCAACTGCTTTTGTTCATAGAGACAAGCTACACAATGAAGTTTATATCCAGAAAATAGATATCAGCCAAAAGTTCTGACATGAATTTTATTAGAACATTTTGTCAGGGTATTTTGGTGTATAGTTGTATAGATGTTTTACTACTTTAGGGATTTAGTCTTTTAAAATTATTGTTGAGCAATGCACTTGATGACAGGCCTCATGTATGTGGAATGTGATCACATGATCGTCAAGACCACCTTCTGCAACTCCTGGTTTCCACACAACCTCAAACACGACCCTCTGTCGCCCTCTAGTGTCACAGACGGAGAGTCATCAGGCAGCAAGTATGAGACCAAATGGCAAATGCCGGGCTGCTGTGTCTGGGGTGCTGTGCAATTGCCCTGAAAGTCCGAGGGCTCTGCTTCGTGTGAGCAGTGGTTTAGTGTAAAAGTTACAGCTTTTATTGTAATAAGTGTAAAAGTAGTACTCGATTGGTGGAGAAGACTATTATGGTCTGGATTAGTGGTTAGAAGATGGAAAAATTATTCTACTATGATCTCAAGTGTCTATTAATCAAGTCGCTATTCTATAAAATTGATGTGGATCTAACAAACCTTCTGCGTTTAATAACATTTTGGAGAGTTGTGTTACCTTGCTATGCTATGTTATGCAGGCTGCCCATTGAATTTAGCATAGAATATAAAATAGCACTGTTATATATAGACTAAGCAAAATATAGCTCAGGGACCCACTTCCTCCATACTGTGTACACAAGATGCTGGATATCTTGTATAGGGAATTTGCTTGTTTCAGGCACACTCTTAATGCAGAAACCTCTGCGACAGTTAAAGAGAGTCTTACTGAGAGTCCTGACCACTGGTTTGTCTGTGAACCATAATCCTAATTTTGCATGTAGTTTTTGCCCCTGGGTTAGATGTTGATCCAGATCTTCCTCATGTACATTCTCTGTCTCTCATCATTTTTATGATGCTAATATTGTCCCTTCACCATGGCCGTTCCTTATCTTGCCTGGTTAATGGTACTGTGTTTACCTGTTAACAAATACCATGGTTCTACTCTTCTTACTGCCTCCTGCCCACAGCCTCATTGATCATCTACTGGACCCAGCCAGCATGGCTGCAGCAGTGTCAAGATGGTGTACCCCCATCCCGGAAAGATCTCCTGTGCTGACATGGTCGTCTTCGTCAGTTTCCTGAATCCAGTACCAGTGGCTGAAATATACTAAGCTGAAATTACTTTTCCCCAGTGTTTCATCCCCATTACTTTAAATGACCGTAACAAGTTACAAGTCCTATGTGATTATGTGAGTAACTGGCAAGTAAATTAGACTGTAGTAAAATATATTTAATTAATTCATTTTAAAACAAATACTTGCTGGAAATGGTGGAATTGTAGTTCTGATTCTTCCCAGCCAGCAAGCTCATAAAGAGGAAGCTGCAGTAATGTTTATAACTTTTATTACCTAGTGAAACAGCTAAAATGTCATGATCTGCTTGTCCGATCCTCCTGTGCCACGCCCCCTTGTTACCTCATGTGGAATCCCAGTGTTTCTCAGCTGTTTCTAGTTGTTGTTAATTGATTCTGTGTATTTAGTGCTTCGGTGTCTGTCTTATCCCTGTCCGGTCATTGGCTTTAGTTGACGTTTGTTTCACGGTCTGTGCTGTGTTTGCTGGTTTCCCTGAATAAACCCTATTTTCCCTGAGTTCACGGTGTTTGTGCTGCTTCCCTGTACAGATCCGTAACACTCAACTAGAAAAGCCCTCATAAGATTAAAGGAACTAAGAGTGCTTGTGATACATCAGCTGTCTCCTCATACATGTAACTAAAACCATGTCACTGCTGGATCCACGACATGACCAGTCTCTCAGTGTACGTAAGCGTGGCGCCCCAGCCCGTTCTCTCAGTGTCTGTAAGCGTGGCGCCCCAGCCCATTCATTTAGTGTCCATAAGCGTGGTGCCCCAGCCCGTTTGCTCTGTGTGCGTAAGTGTGGCACCACAGCCCGGTCTCTCAGTGTCTGTAAGCGTGGCGCCCCAGCCCGCTCTCTCAGTGTCCGTAAGCATGGGGCCCCAACCCATTCTCTCAGTGACTGTAAATGTGGCGCCCCAGCCCGTTCTCTCAGTGTTCTATAAGTTTTGGGATTCATTTTAATTAATGCTTAGTTCACATCTGAAATCCTAGCTGAAACGTATTGTCCAATAAGCACAATGACCTATACTCTGGATCACCCAGGTTACACACCCTCCATCTGTATTGAGCAGACAAAACCATGATTCATGGTAACACTTCCCGTAAAGGTGATGAAACCTTTGCAACAGGTTTTGCCTATTTCTGAATGTACTGTAACACATTAGTTATATAGGCACTTGTGTGGGTTTTAATGTAAATATCACATTACACAGCACTACATTTCAGCAGCATTATTATGAAAGCACAACAAAATCAATGAACCTATGTACCTGATGATCTCATTCATTACATTTCCTGTAAGTCAAAAGGCGTATCGTCATGTCTCTGGAGGAAACCACACAACATGGGGAGGACATGTGAACTGCAAACACCCAGAGCGAAGGCAGAATCCAAGCCCTTATCCCTGGAAATGTGTGGGAACAGTGCTGGCCAATGCTGGAGTGGTTAAGCGGGAAACACAATTTTATTTCACCACCGACACATCCTCCCCCATAAAACATATCACCGGCAGCTGGAGTTTATGGGTTCTTATGGGAATGTTCTGCTTTTGAAGGTGGGCAAAGCACAGACATTTTGAGAACCACTGAGCTGGCTGCAAAAAAAATCACCATAAAATCTGGAGCATTTTGATTTTTTCAACTAATTTAATAATATCTTGTGATATAAAATAACTACAGTAGAGGCTTCCTTCAGGTCCCATGTCCAAGTTCTTGACACCACACTGCTAGTGCTGTGCCTATGGACCTATTATAATTTGCTGTGGCAACTGCATGTCGCAATTCAAGTCCTGACACTGAAAGTTTATCTGATCTGGCCATACAGTACATACTGCACCACTGAATTAATCCGGATGGGATTAATTTTTGTCCTTATGTCTCAAGTAGCAGCCTACCTGTGAACACTCCTGTGTCATTGATAAACCCAAAACCACCGATAGACATTAATGAGGGTCGCTTCCTATATATCAGCGCCGTTATGTTTTTGGTTTTTTTTTTTCAAAAAGCATATGCGATATCCGAGGCATTGCGGCCATTTTTCATTTCGCTTGCGTTAAAGGTCGCAACTTTCCAGACCAACGAGTCGTCTGCATATTGTATGGATTTTGGAGAAAAGGAAACACTCACGTAGTAAACGATTCGAGTCCTTCTTCATACATTTAGCCTATAGGGCTGTAATTATGGAGGGATGAATGGGGAGGGGGGGTTGGGAGGCGGGGTTGCAGAACACATGACAGAGGGATGGAACCGTCCCGACCGCACTGACCATTTGCAGGAGCGTCGGCGGTGGGGAAGCGCTGCGGCCACGGTGCACCTCCACGGACAGACGCGCAAAACTCAATACACATACAAAAAAGCAAAACTTCTGCTTATAACACTTCCGTGTTCAAAATGGCTGACTCTATGCAACCGGGCATTGAAGGCGACGGTGCTGAGAATATGAGAGGTTTTGCCAGGCAAGGCGCGCTGAGGCAGAAAAACGTCCATGAAGTAAAAAATCACAAGTTTATCGCCCGTTTCTTCAAGCAGCCGACCTTCTGCAGCCACTGCACGGACTTTATCTGGTGAGGCGCCGTCCTGGCTCTGTGCTCTTGCCTTAGGGGAAGGCGACGCTCCTATTTCCCATACTGTAATGCAGATCACAGGTGACACACTTGCTGCTCTGTAAAACAATTGTCAAGATAAATGTATTATATTTTTTTAATCAAAATAATTGTCTATATTAGACACAAGCAACGCTGAGTTTCAAATACGTTATTTTGTGGACTGTAATCTGTGGATAGAGACCATGACTGAAAATGTCTTTGCAAAATGAAAAATTGCACATTAAGTCACTTAACCTGTTGGTATGTAGCAATAAGCATCTGTCTGTTAATTTCGCTAATGTATAACGACTAGGCTACATAACCATCTTGTGCAATTAATCTGCGCTTGTGTTGATTTTGGTACATTGAAGCCAAGCAAATTAATGCAGTGGGTTGAACATCTGCTTTTCAGATTTTATTGAAATGTAAATACACATCAGTATTACATGTGATGTCAGTGCAATTATCAGGATAGATTGAATCTGTTTTTGTTTGTTATTTTAGGGGATTCGGAAAACAAGGATTCCAGTGTCAAGGTAAGGGAAAGTACGCCTTTTCAATGCAGCATTACTTAACAATTAATCTTCAAAATGGTCGCCACTTAAAAGCAATCGTTTTCACAAATTGTCTTTAGATGGGTAAATGTATGGGGTTCATCTGACATTCCTCCCTCGTCCTTTCAGCCGCTTCCTTTAAATGACCGGATCTCTGGGTTTTCATGCCCCCCCCATCCATCCGATGCGCAGCCTGTCCGTCGCTTTTTGGGGGGTGTCAGCTGTCGCATTGCCACTGCCGAGGTCTTTATAAGCTGCGGACATGATGCCTGTTTGCAGGTTAATTTAGCCGGAACCGCACGGCACTATATTTATAGCCGTGGCTGCGGTTTCTCAAGGCGCCTTTGTGGGAAGGACGCCGGTTCATGATTTCAATAGCATAACGGGTCTGTACAGTAAAGCAAGTAACATTGAAGTCCATACGATCGCTTAAGTATCTTTATGGCCACACACATTGACCTTGTGCCATACCTCGGCAGCAAAATTATAAAGTACACATTTTAAACGCCTCATTATTAATTAAACGGGATAGGCAGCCAATTTAAAACGGATATCACCGTATTAATATCTAAGGCATTAAACTACACTCACTAAATACGGAAATCGACAGTGTGAATGCGGTTGGACTACGACGGAATCTGTCAACATTTTTCAGTTCCTCCTTTCATTTCTTTTTTTTTCGTCAAATCATAAGTGCATGTGCACGTTATGAGAAAAGTCTCATTTCTAATTAATACGTGAAACTGAGCATCAGAATCTAATACTGCTTCTGTGTTAGATAACCCCTTTCCACCTTGAATGTGTTACGGATCAACAGTGTTGACCACTCTGAAATGCTTTACTATAATATTGCAGAAAAATCAGGGAAGTATTTTCTGTCTAAATGCAAAGTTTCTAATATGCTAAACCGGTAGTATGAAAACCTATGGCTGCATAAACATGCCCAGTAATTTAAGTGTAACCCACTCATCATGTATAAAAGGGGGATTAATTGTGCCACAGCAAGTTTCAGTTGTCATGGTTTAAGCGCGTTAACCCTTACTGTCCTTCTGGCGGGGGCCTTCAGCACGTGCGGTGCTGCAGTGTGTCGGCGGGGTAGAATGGCTGCTCTCTGTGCCGCTTTTACGCGCAGCTCAGCGAGCGCCGTCCCAGTCAAGCTGCAACTGTAGCGCGACCCGCCGCGATGTGAGGCACCACTGAGCAGTGGCAGCGAGAAACCCACCCTTTTCCTGTTTTTACTCAATAGCCGAAGTCGACAGCGAGATGCGGGGCTTGTGTAGGGGAAGTTTTATCCCCGTCGCTGTATTAAGAGGCCGATATAGCACAAAAGTGCAAAGGGAGACCCGTATGTTCCAGAAGACTCTGGGAAGATAAAGTGCTTTACCCCCTGGTGGTTCAAACTGACTTAACTGCATCATGCAACATTTAATAGACTTAATAGTTTGCTGGGGTCTCACTTTCACTTCTGCGATCCACGATTTCTGCCTTATTTTTAAATCTCTCTTGCTAAAGAAGCTGCATAGAATGTTAAGTTTACAGTGCATACATGTGAATTGGCGAGAACAGCTGAAATGACATCGTGCGTGATTCACAAGCTTTTGTGCAGGAAATGATCCTCCATCTACACTCATCCATCATTTAAGAAATTTGTGTCAGTTTGTGATCTGGATTAATTTAACGACTCCATTGCAGTTCTAATATGCAAAGCAGCTTTTTAAGGACTGGCTTTATGCATGCAGTATTTGCTTATTCTTTGTAATCCAGTGTCTGTCAGCTGCGCATATATGTCAGTCTTCTGGCTGGTTTGCTCAATGCGCAGGTAAAATCAGGCATAAGCAGGCCAGTCTCCATTTATGACCGGAAGTGTAATTTGAACGGTTAATTTGTGCCAGTTTTGTCCCAGAATTTGACCCTTTAGAATGTTTGTTTTATTTTTTTGGCAGCTTTTCTGTATATTTGACACCAGAGCTTTTGTGCAGTGGTGTTTGATTTGCCCTAAAGGCAGGGACCTGCTTATTTTTGTGGTATTTGGTTCTGCCAGTGCTATTTTATTCCCTTTATTATGCCATTAGTTCTTTTATTTTTGGCTTAATATAGATAAATGCTTCCTCATACAGTGTGGGCTGAACCCACAGTGCGCTTACGCTAAAGCTCCACCCTGAAGACTTCTTCTTTGGTGTGCTGCTGATATTAGACATGAAGATCCTCTCATGACCCCGGAACACAACCCTCAGTATTACATTAGTATGTAATAATGTGATTACACAGTTCCTGCATCCACCGCTTCCAGGTGTCGTTCTGTGTCACCCTGCACTTATGCTCTCGGCCTTTGGCGGTCTCTCCTTTAACCTCCTTACGCCTATTACAGAAACTTAACATTGCTTAACACAACCCTAAGGACATGAATGAGCTTTGAAGTTGATGCCACCTGCAGTACACTTACTTGAATCTTTGAGAGAAGCCTTCTGTAAGCTCTGCCCACAACATTGTAGTGTTTCCTTTCATTTGCTTATATTTCATCCCCTATCTGATCCTTTTTTTTGATTCATTACTGGGCAGTTCAGTGTAAATCTGCATAGGTAGTAAAACATTTTCCTACTTGGGAGCACAACAATGTCCTGTAGTCAGTTGGACTGTCTCAGTGTTCTGTGGGCTTCACACAGTATTTACATAGACCTAGCCTGTTAGCACATGACTGCTAATGACACGTCTCCAGGGCAGTGCTGAACATCATTGCAGCTGCCTCTTAATGGTTTTTCACCATATCTTCCAATGACTTCTGCTGATGAAAATGGCCTCCGGTTGAAATCCTGTCACTGCTTATGCAATCAAATTGCACTCATCAAGTGATTTTCTGTTTCAGCAAGTGGGAAATCGGCGTTACTCCTTTTTAGTGGAGTCTTTCGTCCCGTCTCTCCTTGATTGTGCTGTTCCTGATAAAAGCACTCGTAGGAATTGTGATTGTAGCGCGACGTGTGCATTTCTGATTTGGTGGAATGTCGCACGCCGCGGTTTGCCTGGAGACCTCAATGGTTCCCTCACACTTCATACCGGGAACCCACTAATCTCTCCTTTTCACTCCTGTCCAAGGCAGAGCAGCTCTTATGCACCTTTTTCAAGCTTTCCACAGCTAATCAAACATTTTAGGTTTGAATGAAAAGGTCCCTTTAATGAAAATATGTAAAACCTGATATTATCATAGAGATTCTGTTGTTCAAAATAATGAATGATACATCTGTAATCTCATTCAAAAGAAATGGCGCTTGACCATGTTTTATATTTGCAGAAGCATATTTCCGTCGGGCCCTTGTGCAAGGCCCCTAATCCCAAAGATGGCCCCATGGGTGCAGAATGCTGGCTGACCCCACGTTAGGACCCCAGCCCTCTCTTGTCCATCGTCTAAGCTAAAAGCTTCTGCTAAATAAACAAAGGCTCTCCTGCATAAACAAAATGAGCCCAACAAGCATGTGTGCCATAGCCTCCATCTGACAAACTTTGATGTTCTTGCTTAAAAAGTGACATTTTCATTTAAGAAGAAAAAAAAATTCAATAGTGCAAAAAAGGCAATAGTGCATCTGGACGAGTGGATTTATTTGCATTCGTATTGTATTTGTGCATGTGCATGCTGCTTGAATTTGTAAGCATATAGATTGTGGTATTTTTCCCAAAGGAATTGGGATTATAGATATGAATCAATCATTTGTGGAAGTGTGGGCATTTGCTTAGCCAATAAAACTGTAAAAGTGGGAAAAAAAGAATATGATCACATCATGTTTAGTGAGATTAACATAATGTCTAATTTAGGGCAAAATCTGATTACTTACAGATCAGCCTATGATTGGTAACAAAAACTAGATTTCTGTTTTTTTCTTCTCTCTTTTGTAGATTTAGTGGTATTTCATGTCAATGCATATCTGTGCGTTTAATTAAGAGCTGCAGTATGCATGTTTTTATAGGAAAAATGCATAATTGATATTGAATTTTGAGCAATGTATAGCTGCATAGTGGCACGTCTAGTTAATCTATGTAAATTTGAGAATATAACTTTCAGACTTTTAAAAATGAGAACTCTTGAAGGAATGTCATGATCCTTCAGTGTTGAACAAGCGGGAGTGTGTGAAATTTGACACCAGCATTCCTGGGTTTTGTGGCCAAAGGGATAGTCCGAAATGTCATGCCCAGGCATGATCTTAGAGACCTGACTCTATGCCTCTGGCCGTGACATGCAGGAAGGCGAGGCCATTGGGAGGAGCGGTATTCGTTATGGCTCTGTGGTATCAGATTGTGTCTGGCGTCTCGCAGCAGGCTGGAGTTTCCCGAAGGCCGAGAAGGGCACCACTGGTTATGCGACACAGAGGCCTGTCCAGCCGCTCAGTAGCCCGCGAGCAGTTTCTTCCTCGCCCCACACCATCAGCTGCCAGATGTGCACGCATCCTTCCTGTCCTCAGCATCTGCAGCCTCAGATAGAAGGCAGTGACGGACAGCCGGCCCTCCTAACACGGCACCCACACACTGTACCCGCGACAGCCTTCTGTGGGGGGCGTCCACGCTTCAGCAGTAAACGGAGTTAATAGTTTCCCCCGCCGATAACCATGGTAACGTAGAGTATCCGTCAGACGGGCACTGTCGCGCTGGTCTGTCCATATCTGCTTTCATCTCACACGTCCTCCGCGCTCCCCGGCGCTTCGGTGTTTCACTCGCCTCTCACATGATTGGACGGCTCTGGCGGCCGACTTCACCGGGGGGCAGCGAGGGGATATCCTCGGCGTTCCGCCTCAATAAAGGTGTCCGGTATGACATGTCTCCCAGAGGGCTAGAGAGGCTCCTTTAATGGCTTGTCGTGCAGGAACTGTTGAGTTGTGCACTTGTAGCCTGGTGAGAGGGAAGAGATGTGGAAAAGGACTGGAAAACAGCCTGGAAAATGATCAGGGAAGGGCGAGAAAGGGATCATTGGCCCTTAGTCTGTGAGTTTGATGAAAGGA